GGAATCTTTTCTAATTCTCAGTAACATAATCTTTTTCGATGTTTATTCACAGTTCAAACTGTTGGAATCAACATTGTCAACTTTTACCCTGACAACTTGCTTACTTTCCACTAAACAAACTTACCCTAGTGAAGAGCCTCTTTCCTGCTCTTACTTCTCCCAAGCTACTTCAAAGAGTCCTTAGGCATTTTCCACATTTTTCACCCAATGTCTGTGCAGAGGTGGTACCTTGCTACAGACAGAGCATTTGGTGTGCCCCGGTATGTTTACATGAAAGTTTAAAAGGTTTTGGTTCCAGGTGTTGGAAAGAGATGGAGTCATTTCAATTTAGCACCAATGGTAAAACTATTTTAGTGTCCTTTAAGTCTTTGATTTTAGACAGAGTGGTTTTCTAATTGTTATGAAGTTTAATCCTTGATTTCTTGTATAAATTTTGAGAACATGGTCTCCAGACAGCTAAACATAATATTTAAACATAACTAAACTAACTTTTGTAAATATTTCCCTTTTTAGTGATGAATGTATATTGGTAAGGAGGGTGAGGTTGAAGGGGCAGAGACCTCTCAGATGAAGTGACTTTCTTTACCAACATGTTCAGAACACCTACTCTTGGAGCTCTGCTTGGTGATGTCCACTTATTTCGTGTAACTCTGGCATAATGTTTGAGTATTTATGTGGGAACAGGATAAGGAAGCTGGGCCTCCAGAATCTCAGAAAGAGATAACTTTTTCATACCTCTGCCCTCCCCTCAATACCTCTCCCAGTTATTTAAAGAATTTCATGTATATGGGTAGCAGTGTGTCATAATTGTTTCCTGGTAAGTTAATGGCATATTATTTATTTTTAAATTGGAGAACTACGATCACAGTATAAGAAAAATATTAATAAAGGGATTGAAATGTCACTATGGTAAGAAATTAATAAAGTTATTGAAATGTCAGATAAAAGCATGTTAAAAATATTGTTTGTTGCCCTCTGCATCACAAGCAAGCCCTCATTCTTAGATGTTTTGTCTTTATTTGATATGACTAATAGCATTGAGGTGAGAGGCATGCTTTCGTGTTCTTCATTTCAGCTCATGATTTCTCTTAAGCAGACACCCCTTAGATGAGGGTAAATGATATTTTAGTTTTGATGATATTTTGACCATTTAATAAAAGGAAACAACTCTACAGTTCTAGTAACTACCCAGTTAATGGAAACTAATAATAATTCTTTAATGCATACATCTTATTGAAGTATTCCTCATTATATCATAATTTTAGGAAAGTAGATATTTTTACATGATACTAACCATGTCTTAATATTTTAATGTAAATTATTTACATGGTATTGGAAATAATGTTAGCCTCATCTAAAATAGAGGGTTTGAAGTAAACCTTAAGGTTACAGGAAGGTGAAGGAGTACTTCCAAAAGAACATCTGTGATAGAAATATTTTAAATGGTGATGAGTCATATACTACACTTATTACACTAACTCACCAACACCCGATTGTGTACTCATCTTGTGCTTCTTGAGTCTGAGAGTGTTAAATGTCACTCTTTAAAGAACAGGGATCATGTCTTTCATTTCTTTGTGCTCTCATGATTTTTTTTTAATCCTCACCAGAGGACATGCTCATTGATTTTAGAGAGAGAGGAAGGGGGAGGAAGGGAGAGAAACATTAATGTGAGAGAAGCATCAGTTGGTTGCCTCCTGTATGCACTCTGATCAGGATCAAAACTGCACCATTTCGGTATATGAGATGATGTTCCAACCAACTGAGCCACACCGGCCAGGGCTCTCATGATTTTTTTATTGTATGTGCATGCTCTCATAATTCTTAATCTAATAATAATGCTCTATAAATTTGTTTAAAATGTTCTGCTGTCTACATAAAGGATGAATTCACTTGAAGACTCTTTTTAAGGGATAATTTTAACATCAATTAAATAGTTTTTATAGGTTTAGATTCAGTTATTTGTCTTCCCTCACCTCACCCTCCTTTTGAGGTGTAAATTGAACTTTTGTGGAGGATTCCTATACTATAATCAAATGAAAAACAGAAAATAAAAGTTGAAAGTCAGCCTTCAAGGGCAATACATTTTCTAGGGTTTTGTTTAGGTCATAAACCCCTGGAAGGCAAGGAATAACTAGACAGTCCAAACCATGGCCATTATAAATGGATGGCGTTACTCAAGATGCACATAGTACCCCGTTGTGGTCCATTCTTCTAACTTCAATTAAGAAAAAGGGCTCAAATCAGTGGAGTGAAAACTATTCTTTCAGTTCCCACAAACCAAATGCTCAAAGGACTATTTCCAGATCTTTTAAATTATTTACATTATATTCTACAGTATTGAATAGAACATAATTTTATTTAATCATTTTCTTATTAAGGTCCATTAACTTCTATATATATTGACACATTTATTTCTGTGGAGTAGACATCTCAAAGTGGATGGCTGGATCAAAAGATATGTATTTTTAATTTTATAAACTCAGGTTTATTGAGGTATAATTTACATGCTGAAAAAATAAGTTCTGAAAAATGTATAGTCTATATTGTCATATAACCACAACCACCATCAAGATATACAAGATTCTGTCACTCTAAAAAGTTCTCTACCAAGCTGTAAAACATAGAAGGAATCTTTACCTTTTGCAACAGCATGGATGGACCTGGAGATTATTATGCAAAATGAAATAAGCCAGTCAGAGAAAGACGAATACCAGGTGGTCTCACTTATGTATGGAATCTAATGAACAAAATAAACTGATGAACAAAATAGAAACAGAGGCATGAATACAAAGAACAGACTGACAGCTGTCAGAGGGGTTAGGAGAGGGGGACTGGATGAAAGAAGATGAAGGGATTAGGCAAAGGACATATATGCATAGCCCATAGACACAGACAGCAGTGTAGTGATGAGCAGAGGGAAGTGGAGGTGGGGGGATAGATGGAGGTGGGTAAAGGCAGGAGCAGAAATGGGGATATCTGTAACAGGGTCACCAATAAAAAGAAAAAGAAAAAGAAAAAAAGTTCTCTTATTTCCCTGTGCAGTTAATCTCCTTTTCCTACCTCCAGCCCTTAGGTGTGTGTGATCTGATCTCTGACCCTAAATGTAATGCACAAAAGTAGTTGTGTGTGTATGATTTCTTTCACTTAGCATATTTTTTTTTGAGATTCATTCATCTTATTGCATATATCAATCAGCATTTCATTCCTTTTCATTGCTGAGTAATGTTTTATGTTATGAATATCCTACAACTTATTTATTCATCTGTTGATAGACATTTGGTTTATTTCTAGTTTTAGTGATTATGAATAAACCCAGTGTAAATATTTGTTCTCAGATCTTTGTGTTGACATGGACTTTCATTTCTTTTGATTTTATGATATCTTTTAACTTTATAAGAAACTATCAGACTATTTTCCAATGTGACTGTACTATATCTTACATCCTACCAACAGTATGTGAGGAGTTCTAGTTCGTCCACATTCTTGTCAACAGTTAGTGTCACCTGTCTTTTAAATTTTAGCTATTCTAGTGAATATGTAGTAGTATCTCATGGTTTTAATTTGCAATTTATCTTTTGACTAATGATATTGAGCATCTCTCTTCGTGTGATTATTTGTCATCTATAGATCTTTGGTGAAGTGTCTGTTCAAGCCTTTTACCCATTTTAAAAATATTAATGAGTTTTATTTTCTTGCTATTGATTTTTGAGAGTTTGTATATATTTTGGGCTATAAGTTTCTTATTAGATATGTCATTTGCAAATATTTTTTCCTCTGTGACTTTTAAAAAAATTTCTAATAGTTTTTTATGAAAAGCAGAAACAATTTTGAAGAAGTCCAATCTATTATTTTTTCTTTTATGATTTCCATTAAAAATTTTAATGCATCCTGTCAGGTAATTTTCAGAAAAGTTCATAGCAATTCCCATTCCCACTAGCAAAGTACAATAGCCGTTATTTCCTAGCATTCACATTAGCACTGAGTATTAGTGCCCTTTTCAGTCTTTTTCAGTATAACAAGTGAGAACTATTACCTCATTGTAATTTTCTGGCTATAGCCAGAGTGACTGTGTTTTCACATATTTGTTGGTGATTTGCGTTTTCTGTTTTGTGAATTACCTGCTCGTATACTTTGCTTTTAAAAAAAAGCAACACTTGGGTGTTGATCTGTTTCTTATCAGTTTGTAAATACTTGGTGAATTAGGAATGTTAATCCTTTGTCATGTGTATTGCAAAACATTTTCCTCCCTGTATATCATTTATTTTTTTTGGCTCTGTTTTTAATTAAGAGCTTTAATCTTTAACTATGACTGGAATTTATGTTTATATATAGTACCATGTAAGTATATAGCATTGTTTTCTTCCAAGTAACTAGCCAGCTTTGCATATACTGTTTTTAAATAAAACATTCTTTTGTCACTAAATTGAAACATCATATATGTTATATATTATGCTCTCACATATCTTTGTACCTATTTCTAAACTCTATTTTCTGTAATTTTTCTAGTCTTTATTTCTGTGCCAATGCTATACTGATTTGAAATCTGGTAAGGCTTATTAACCACTTCCTCATTTTTCTTTCCAAGGTTCCCATGACTGTTCTCATATAATTATTTTTTGAAATGTATTTTTAATTTTTCTTTAATTTTCGAGAAAACTCATTACTGAATTATAAATGTAATTGCAATAAATTTATATCCTAATTTGGGAAGGATTGATATTTTCTTTTTCTTTTTTATAGTTAAATTTAATATTGGCAGATTTTTTTTTCAACTATTTAATACTTATTTACACACACATGTTAGCAACAGGTATCATTCTCACTTTATAAATGAAAAGTTCAAGTCAGGATCGGTCCAAAGGCTTCTTTCTTTCTCAGGGAAGTTTGCAAAGGATCCCAGGCCTTGATACTCTAACTCCTAGGACCTGTTAGGGAGGTTTTGGAAGTACAGGTAGGGAAGTGGAGATGCCAGAGGACCTACACTCAGACCAGAAGACAAAAATACTTGGACATTTTAATGAATTCCCCTCTGTGTAGCTTCAAGTTACCAGGACACAGGCCCCACCAACACCCTTAATCTTCTCCTCCGCTCTTCTGCTGAAGAACTTGGCCTTCACAATGACAGGCTGCTTTGGGAGCTTTCCCTTCCCCAGAACTTTGTAGTAGCCCGATCGCACCACATCAATGATGGGAGCAACTTCAGTCTTGCTTTTGGCAGCATTGACTCGTGTCTGCTCGCTGACCAGGGTCCACAGTTTATCAAGGTTGATAGTTGGGCAGAAGCTCTGGTTCCTCTTAAAGTGGTAATGCCTCATTCCAACTTTACCAGAGTAACCTGTGTGGTATTTGTTGAAATTAATCCTGTGATGATGCAAGCCGCCAGCATTACTGCGGCCCCCCGGGTGCTTCCTGTGCTTGCCGATGCGGCCGTGGCCGTGGCCGTGGCTCACGTGGCCCCGAAGTTTCCGGGTCTTCCTCAGTCTGGATAGCATGTCGGTGGCCAAGTTGCAAGAGCTTGGCAGATATTTTTTAAAAAAAAAATTGTTGAGGTTATTACAGATGTTCCCCCAATTTTTAGATTCAATTGTTGATAGGTATGTACTTGTTGCCATTTTGTTTTTCATATTTTTGATCTTTTTCTTTTTCTTCTTCATCCTCTTTTTAAAGAATACCCTTCAACATTTCATATAATACTAGTTTGGTGTTGATGAACTACTTTACCTTTGTCTTGTCTGTGAAGCTCTTTATCTGACCTTCAATTTTAAGTGATAGCTTTGCTGGGTAGAGTAATCTTGGTTGCGGTTCTTAATGTTCATCACTTTGAATATTCCTTGCCACTCCCTTCTGGCCTGCATAGTTTATGTTGAGAAATCAGCTGACAGTCATATGGGCATTCCCTTATAGATAACTAATTGCTTTTCTCTAGCTGTTTTTAAGATTCTCTCTTTGTCTTTTGCCCTGGCATTTTAATTATGATGTATCTTGGCGTGTCCTCTTTGGATTCTTCCTGTTTGGGGTTCTCTGTGTTTCCTGGACTTGTAAGTGTATTTCTTTCACCAGGCTCGGAAGTTTTCTGTCATTATTTCTTAAAATAGGTTTTCAATATCTTGCTCTCTTTCTTCTTCTCACACCCCCATAATCCAAATGTTGGTATGCTTGAAGTTGTCCCAGAGGCTCCATTAACTATCCTCATATTTTTGGATTATTTTTTATTTTTGCTCTTCTGGTTAGGTGTTTTTTGCTTCCTCATAATTTTTTGATCAAGCATTTTGAGTTCCTTGAAGACATGATTCTAACTAGAGGACTATAAGTATTAGAGTTCTTCCTGATTACCCTAAAATGAAGCTCTGAGGTTGAGCAGAAAAGGAATCAAATGCTATTTTACATGTAATGAGACTAATGCTATAATCAACACAATGAAGTGTTTGTGTAAATGTCAGTGGCCATACACAAATGCACAGTCATGAGGTTAAATAACACATGACTAGAAGTTCTCAATTTCTCCAGCTGATTTATGGTTTTAAGTAGAATATACTATGTTGCTTGTAAGTCCTCTTATGAACCATCATATAAGTGAATAATTTTTTTAGAACTCAATTTCTTATAAGATTTAACAGACATAAAATTAAATTTCAATAGATATGATCAGAAGAAAGGTAACATAGGAGAGAAGGATATAATTGCAAAAACATACATTTTATACATGAAAAGCATTGTATTGGCAATTACTATAAAGAGTCATCAAGGATGCTTTTTAAAAAAAGTGCTCATGTTCTGCTTCTCTCAGAATATACTTGGGAGCATTGATTGATTAATTACCAAGTTGATGTATGCTTTTTCTTTGTGAATCACCAAATGAACTTCCCTGTTTTCAGGAGTCTTTGTATTAGGAGACCTGGAAAAATGATGATTACTTGTTGCTTTTCACCTATGCTCTGTAAGATGATATAGGAAGGAGTCTTCTAAATTCATTTTAACTTTAGTTCTCTCTTGTTTTCTCACTATGAGAAGCATTTTCTCATCAGTTCCTTCATTTAGGATGATGACATCACCTCAAAACATAATGGAATAAAAGCAATTTCTTTTGGACAGTTAATTAAATACAGATAGCCCTCTCTGTAGTCTGGTTGAAGTTAATGGTGCATTTTAGAGTATTAGGACAGTAATCTTCAAGTTCCAGGTGGGGTTGGGAAAGGGTAGCTAGGCATTCCAAGAGCTATGCAAGGAAATCCATTGAGTGGGGAAGTCTTACTAATAATTAATTATGCAGTCATCTTGTCAGAGGAGTATTAGTTTTTTATATTTTTAATATATCCTCAGAATAGAATGAGAATTTTCATAATTAAGAGGAATTGACAATGTACCATTATTCATTTTTAGTTTATTTTCAGTGTATCTCAACATATTGCATGTAGTTCACATGTGTCCAGTTAAGTGGATTTAAAGAAATTTTTGAAAATAAACTGGATTAAATATAGTTTTAAAGCCAGCAAGGAACAACAAAAAATTGTAAGACCAGTGGTTTTCTTTCAGTATGAAATATTTGTTGGCCACATAATATGGTAAAAATAATTTGACAAGAAGTTGTCCAAAAAAAATCTCTGAATTACTAAAAGAACTATTTTAAAATTTACATGTACTTTTAATAACGTCTAATGGAACAGTAATATAATGCCCAGACGTTATTAATATTTTAAAAATAGGAACAAAAAAGGTTTTGAATCATAATCAAAATAAGACACACATTGAAATTATTGCTTACTTAATTTTTAGCTGATAATTAAAATTTTTTATTTTGACCTATATTTTAGAATGTAACTAAAATATTACTGCAGCAAGAGCTGCATGTGAAATACATATATTACATATATAGTTATATATTAATATATGTATATAAAAAATTGGAGATCAATAACCTATGAAATCCTTTGTTCCTCAAAGAAGTATAGGGTAGTAGATATGAACAGGAACTTTAGGATTAAACAGATATGGATTTTGATCCTGCACTTAAACTGTACTAGTTTTGGGGGCCTTAGGCAAACTATTTAATTTCCTTCCCATTTGTACAATAAGCAAAATAATGTCTTATGTGGTTTGTGAAGGTTAGATGAACTGTTTTGAAGTACTTAACACAGGGCCATACACTCAATGAATGTTAGTTATTGTTGTTATAATTATTATCTTAACTAGAGGCCCAGTGCACGAAATTCATGCAGGGGTGATGGGCAAGGAGGGAGCCCCTCAGTCCAGCCTGCATCCTCTCCAATCCGGGACCCCTCGGGGAATGTCCGACTGCCGGTTTGTGCCCTCACTTTTAACAGATGACAGCTCCATTGTTATTTCTTTCTTTTCATATTTAAACCCATTGGAATTAGAAGGTATTCAAAGTGTGTATACATTTTGGGGGGACACCCTGTATATCTATATAGTCACCGTTGAAAGGAACCAACGATGGATTTGGAACCCTCAGACTGGGAACCTCGCTCACTCCCCACATGTCTCCCCACTCCCCTTTTCACTTTTGCAGGCAGTAAAAGAATCAGTGTTTTCTCTCATTAACTCAGAAAAGCACGTCCTGTCACCAGCTGCCCGAAAGGAATGTGCTAGGCCCCAAACGAGCGAGGCTCAGTCAGGGCAGCCTTCGCTCATGGATGCCCGCACCCGTAGTGCACATTCCTCCTCTGCAGTTGCCCCAACTATCTCACCGTTTCACTGAGAGGACGGAACTCCTTACCTCCTCTGGGTTACCGATCTTGAATGCTGACCGAAGGCACCTCAGCAAGGGCCGCCTGCACCCATCAGGTGTGTCTGTCCCCACCTGCTCCCATCTCAGCACCTGCATTAGCCCCATGGAGGTGATCTCATTGCTTCACTGGACTCCGCAGGAACAGGGCATCAACACTCCACCCTCTCACTGTCATCTTACAGGTGCCCACCCCCAGCACCCACAACACCCAGACACTCTCCACAGAACGTGAGCTGCTGGAGGGGATGTGCGCACGTCCTGTGGGGGACATAGGCATGCTGGGGTTGATGGAAGTGTGGTGGAGGGGTGGTGGTGGGGAACTTGTGCACACCATGGTCCGGGACTGTTGCAGGTATGAGTGGGTGACAGCGCACTGGGAGACATTTGCACTCAAGTGGGGCAGGAGAAGATGTATGCACTGGAGGCCTGTGGCTGTGCAGATCTGTAAACCCCCATGGCACAGCCAGGAGAACATCAATCTGGCCTGCCACGGTGGCTGTCCCTGCCTGTCCCTGCGATTGAGCACCTTCTGGGCCAGGAGGCGGGACTTGTGCAGCCAGTCCTTGGCGCTGATGGCCTGCAGGCACTACTTCAGTTCGGCCCGCAGGCTCTGCTTGGCACACTCACGGCTGCTGCTGCCGCCATGTGGGGAGTACAGGCCGCTCTCCACTGGCCCACCTCCCCCACCCAGAGGCTCTCCTCAGCTCACAGGCTCTCCATGCTTGCTGCCCACAGGCCCAGAGTGGCTGGGGCGTGTGGAAGGTTTGGCTTCCTTCCTCACCGGGGTGAGGAAGAAAGCCAAGCGTCCCGCCCAAAGGAGGCCAAGCATCCTGCCCAAAGGAAGCCAAGTGTCCTGGTGGGCTCTGTGGCCGCCACCAGAGGCAGGCCCTTGGCGGCCGGCTGGGGCATGCAGGAGGCTTGGCTTCCTTCGTCACTGGGGCGATGAAGGAAGCCAAGTATCCTGCCCGCTCTGGCTGGTTCTGTGGCTCCGGCTAGCACCGCCATCTTTGTGGCTATGGGTGCTGCCATCTTTGTGGCTATGGGTGCCGCCATCTCTGTCATGGAATGATGGCTAATTTGCATATTACCCTTTTATTAGTATTGATAATAAAGAGATTGTTCTTTAGAGAATGTTTCATAAATCAGTTCATGTCTCAGATACTACTATCACAATGCAAAATGGAAAAGAGCTAAATAGATTTCAAAAGAAGCAAGTTCTTAAGTTTCATGATTGTTGTCAGCACTAAAGTTTTCGCTACATGTTTTTTGTATGTGTATGTGTGTTTAAGGGTCTAGGCTTTGGAGTAAGTAGAATTTATTATAGAGATTATAGGGTCAACGGGTACATGAACATCCTTGCTACACTTCTCTAGTATCTGTTAGGGTTCTGAAGAAGAGAAATGCAACCATCCTACAATTTCTTGAGTCTTTGGCCTGTCTTTCCTTTGAATGTAATGGCTTCAGCAGTTATAGGTTATCTGCTCTTTTTTTTTTTTAGTATGAAGAAAATTTACAGTTATGCAGATAAAGATCTGTAATTTCACACATAATCAAGGTGAATGTGGAAGTATGGTAGATGTAGGAAGTGATAAATTGTACTATACAGCAAGGAAAAATAACATTTTGTTCACTTAGAATAGCCATTTGATTCTCCTGTGGCTTATGTTGTAAAATGTATTATTGTTACAGTGATTGATGATTAATGTATTAGGGAGAAATTTTCAGAGTTGAGAAACCTAGATTTCAGCTTTGCATTTACTTT